GCATAGAACTAAACCCTTTCTGATTCAATGGGAATTTGGTTTGATAAATTTTTAATAGATTGAAAAAAAACATAATTGGCTCTAATCAAAAGGCTAAGTATTAATTAATTCCTTAAAAGATTTCTAGAAGATTAGGGATTCCATTTTATCTAAAACTCCAACAGGTTATTTCTGGTCCCTTAAGACTACTAATTCACTGTTTATATTTTTATTTTTATTTATGTATGACAGTGGAATGCATTACAATTCTTATTATACATACAGAGTATAATTTTTCATATCTCTGGTTGTATACAAAGTATATTCACACCAATTCGTGTCTTTATACATGTACTTTGGATAATAATGTCCATCACATTCCATCATCATTTCTAACCCCATACCCCTTCCCTTCCCCCCCACATTCCTCCCACGCTCCCCCTCCCTACCCCACTATGAATCAGCCTCCTTATATCAGAGAAAACATTTGGCATTTGTTTTTTGTCAGAATGGCAGCTATTATGAATACAAACAATTATAAGTTTTGGCGAGGATGTGAAGAAAAAGGCACACTCATACTTTGCTGGTAGGGCTGTAAATTGGTGCAGCCAATATGGAAAGCAGTATGGAGATTTCTTGAAAAATTGGGAATGGAACCACCATTTGACCCAGCTATCCCTCTCCTCGGTCTACTAATTCACTTTTAATGTTTTTAGCCATATTTGGTTATTTGTAGAGTTTAAAAAAAAACCCTATAACTGACATTTCACCAAAGAAAGGCAATATTTATGCACATACTCACCCCCTCACCCCCCCACACATATATACCTGTATGTATGTATTTATATGTGTGTGTGTGTGTGTGTGTATACACACACACACACACACACATATAAATACATACACATGACAAACCATCCAACATTCAGTTGCTTAAAACAATAATAGTCTACTTAGTTCACAAATCTATAATTTGCACTGGCTTTTTCAAGGAAGCTTGTCTGCCAGAATAGCTCAACTTCAGCTAGAGGTCCAACATAACTTACTTACATAACTTGTAAAGTAGTTTTGGCTGTCAGTTCTTCTTTTGGTGTTCTCTCTATGGGACAGCCTCATCTTTCTCACAAAGTGATAGCTGGGTTCCGAGTGAAATATCTCAAGAAACAGTGTTCTAAAGGATAGGAAATGTCAACTGCCACTTCTTAAGTCTTGACCCTAGAAACACATAGCCTTCATTTCTACTGTCATAAAGTGATCATGCAGTCAGAGAATTCATATTCTAGGAGGAGGGATATAAATTTCAGGTTCTTAGTGGCAGAGAGGGGGGTCAAAGAAATTTGGAGCCTATTTTCAAACTGCCTCAGGAAATAGGGGAGTTTGAAAAAATTATTCTTAGTTGATAAAGTTTATTTGCTCCAAAAGGGGTCAGTGATATCATTCTTATTTGGATACTTTTTTTTTTTAGTACAAATGAGTTCTTTTTATCTTTTTACCATTTAAGATTATGAGAAGTATCTTTTCAGTGTTTGTAAGCTAGACATGGTAGCATATGCTTGTAGTTCCAGATACTTGGTAGGTTCAGGGTGGGGGAATGCTTGAGCCTAGATGTTTGAGGCCAACCTCCACTAGTTGCTGTCTCACAAACAAACAAACAAAAACAGTATTTATATGATCTATATGTACACTTTATAATCCCAGCAACTTAGGAGGCTGAGGCAGGAGAATCACAAGTTTGAGGCAACTTAGACCCTGTCTCAAATAAATATAAAAAGGGTTGGTGGTATAATTCAGTGGTGGAATTATAGGTTCAATCCTCAGTACTGAAAGAAAAGAAATTCTAAGATGACCCTAATAAGCATTTATTATAGATAGGAAGAAATCAAAAACATGATTCATAAAAGAGAAAATTAATATTGGACTTCTCTGTGAAACATACTGCAAAGAAAATGACAAGACAAGCCCGGACTGGGAGAAAATATTTGCAAAACATATCTGATAAAAGACTTGTATCTATAATACCTAAAGAACTGAGCAAAATTGTCCAGTCAAAAAGTGGATATGAGTCTGTAGGGTATAGCTCAATGATAGGGTATAGCTCAATGATAGACTATGATGTGCTCAGCATGCATGAGGCCCTGGGATCAATCTCTAGCAAATAATAATAATAATAATAATAATAAGGTATAGCTCAATGATAGAGTATGATGTGTATTATTATAGAGTATTATAACAATAATAATAATAATGATGATGATGATGATGATGGACTAAAGGTCTGAAAAGACAACTTCTCAGAGAGGAGGTACATACACACATAACACATATATATACATACATGAATGACAAATGAGCAGATAAAAAGATATTCACCATCATGTCATAAGGAAATTGCATATTAAAGCAATAATGATAGCATTGCTCACCTGGTAGGATTACTAATATCCTAAACATTTTGTATGGTCAAGACTGTACAAAATGCTGGCAAAGATGAAAAGAACAAGTAATCCTATTCATTGGTGGTGGGAATGCAATTTGCAAAATGATACAGCCACATTCAAAGACAATTTTGCACTTTTTTACAAAGGTAAAACAATCTTAACAGAATCAGCACTTGTGCTACTAGATATTTACTCAAATGAGCTGAAATTGTATGTTCATACGAGAGCATGCACATGAATGTTTTTAGCATAAATAACCCAATGTCTATCAGTGAGTGAATGGATAAAGAAACTGTGGTCTACATATATATTTTTATAAATTGTAACTGCACAGACTTTTTTTTTTGTACTGAGGATTGAACTTAGGCACTTGACCATTAAACCACATCCCCAGCCCTATTTTGTATTTTATTTGGACACAGGGTCTGGCTGAGTTGCTTAGCTACTTGCCATTGCTGAGGCTGGCTTTGAACTCGTAATTCTCCTGCCTCAGCCTCCCAAGCCACTGGAATTATAGGCGTGCACCACCATGCCTGGCTGCATAGGCTTAAAGAACAAATTATTTTATGAGTTGAGTAATTATTACATAGAATTTCCATAGAGAATTATTAAAATCAACTAGAACCATACTCCATTTCACTAATAGAATCACGGAGATTGTCATTACTGAAAGAGACTTTAGAACAACATGATTCTTATTTTTTACAGACTTACAAAGAATGAAACTTAGATACAGAGAAGTTAAGGGATTTGTTCATAGATACCTAGTAAATTATAGGACCAGGGTTAGAAATAAGATCTCTTGATCTCCAATCTCTTTCTTACAGGAAACTTATACAGAAAAGCTAAATATAATAAATGACTTTATACTTTAATAATGGTAATTGATAATAATAGTCATGCCCCTCAGACTCAAAATTATCCTTTGGGCTCAAAATTAAGATTGATATTTCAGAAACTGGAAATGAGAACAGACTAATAAAACAAATAGGTAGGCAGAAATAAAGGCAAAGTTTTTCTTATTTTCTCAGAAGATTACTCAATACTATGTAAATTTACTAAATTTAAGTAAAATTACCATTTATTTTCTGATGATTACATGTTAATCATTATTTCTACATGCATGCTTCCAATTATGATATATTGCCCAATAAAAAGTGTGTCTTTTAATTTTCGCTGTTTTTTGCTTTTGACTATTCTAAATAATGCTGTTGTAAACATTTCTGTACAAGTTTCTTTTCAAGTCCCTACTTTCATTTCTTTGGGATACATACCCAGAAATGGAATGATTGGATCTGTGTTTAATATCTTGAGAAACCAGCATATTGTGTTCCACACTAGCTTTTCGATTTTATATTCTCACAGAGGTTCCAGTTTCTTTACATCTTTGTCAGCACACATATATTTTGTTTTTGCCTAACATTCCTGAAGGGTGTGAAATAGTATCTCCTAGTATTTTTCTTTGTATTTCCCCGATTCTTAGTAATGTTGAGCATCTTTTCATAAGCTTATTGACTATGTCTTTTTTGTATAAATGTATAAATGTCCTTTTCCTATTTTTAATTGGGTGGTTCTATTTTCTTTTGTTGAGTTTTGTCTTGTTTTGTTTTTCTTGTGGTATAGAGATTGAACCCAGGGATACTTTACCACTGAACTACATTACCAGCTTTTTTAACTTTTTATTTTGAGACAGGATCTCTCTTAAGTTGCTTGAGGACTCACTAAATTGCTAAGGCTGGCCTTAAATTTATGATCCCCTTCCCCTCAGCTCCTGAGTAGCTGGGATTACAGGTATGCACCAGCATGCCTGGCACTAGCTTACTTTTGAAAGAAAAATGTATATAAGATGGATTAATAGTTTGGATAAATCTAAAGTGTTAAGTTGTCAGAATTAGGGATTAATATGACATTTTGTTAGTATAAATGACATTGTGTACATGAAATAAAAATAAAAACCTTGTTGGTTTTAAGTAATTTCTTTGCAATGAAATAGGAAGATGCTTAATATAAAGGAAATAGACTTTAATCCTGTTTTACTTACAATTTAATATTTCTGTTTTAACCATTCAGACTTTATTCAAATGTTTTGAACAGGATACAGGATTATTTTGTTAACATTAATTAAATAATCACACATCATTTATATTTAAATTACTTATGGTTTAAACTTAAAGAAATTTTTTCTTATGATTGAGATTTTCCCTCCTTTCTGATGCCATCATTTAGGAATCAGCATTCCAGAGTAGTTGATATAGTTTTGCATGTTTTTGCTTGGTCTTGACAAACCAACCACTGTGTTCTCATAGAGAGCAGTACAGTACTTGTCACTGGTGGCCTTTCTGTGACAGAGAGCCTGTAGACTGACATAAAGTGCTGCCTGTTGTGAACTGTAAAGTGAGAGTCTGCCAAAAACTTAGCAGACAGAACTAATTGGGGAGAAAAAGGACTTTTGTGTCCTCCTCTCTTTCTTTCTTAATTTTTAATAAGACAGATATTGTTAAAGTAGCTTGTTTATGTAAGATTTGTCTGCTTCTCTTTTCTCATTGCGTGGATCACTTTTTAACTTGAAGTCTTGTACTGCAGATTGTTGAGCACATCCACATGGAGGCTGGCACAGGACCAAACTCGAGACACTCAACTTATAACAGTTGATGAAAAATTGGTAAGAATTCTTTACTATATTCTGCTATGGTTTTGTGTTTAGGATTATTTTTGAACAATATTCAATATGGTCTTCTAGGTTCTTCTAGGAAAGTGATACAAGTTTGAATTTCTAGATTATAAATAAATCTTTTTTTTTTTTTTTTTTGTACTTTAGGATTGAACTCAGGGGCACTTAACCACTGAGCCACATCCCCAGCCCTTTTATATTTAGAGACAGGGTCTTACTGTGTTGCTTAGGGCCCTCACTTAGTTGCTGAGGCTGGCTTTGAACTCATGATCCTCCTTCCTCAGCCTCCTGAGCTTCTGGGAATACAGGTGTGCACCACTGTGCACAGTGATTATACATAAATCTTAAGTATTTTCAGAGAAAAAAATCATTTATGTTAAACATGATACAAAAATATTGTCATATACAAATATTAAATTAAAATGATGAAAGCTTTCATGGTGTTTATAAGTAGTGATTGGAATGCTTATTTATAATGAAGTATTTTTTATTTTCTCAGTGTAACACTCTTATTTAAGTTGTAAGATACTTAACAGTACTATCTAAAATTAAATATATTGGGTTTTTCCAGAACCATGCAATGTTATTGTTATACATATTATATATACATTTACATACATAGCATTTCTGTGTGCACAGGAGAGTTAAGTTAAAACATTACAACTAGAAACAAATGAATAATTCTTTGTTCATCAGGAAATATAATTTTTCTAGCCATCACTGAAATTTTCAGTCTGTGGCCTGTTACTTTAAATGCAAGTTGATATTTATGCTTACATGATGTAATAGCATAAATTTTTGTAATGTTTCCAAGACTTTTGATAGAGATGTATAATAGTTTAAGTGTGCTTTGCCTTTTATGTCTGGTTTACTATTATCAAGTATGTGGATGTATTTCGTAACTACTCCCCTTTTTATGGCATAGTGTTTTATCACTTAATTTTGAGCCTGTTAGCATAATCTAAGTAAGAAGTCACACTCAGATTTGTGTTTGCACCATTAAAGATAACAGACAGATAAATAGAAAAACAAGCAGACAGTTTGGAAAACTCTTAAGCTTCAGGCTAGCTGGCTGGTTTTATCTTCAGGTTATCTCTTAGGCTATTTACTGATTTTGCCATCATCTAGACTGATTCAAGTCTCCCAGTTGATCTCCTCACACACTTTAATCTTCCTCTGATTGATTTTCCCCAGGATAGCTATTTATTATTATTTTAAAATGCTATTTTTGTCACCGTCTACTGTGAAATCCTTTGGTGCTTCCTATTGCCCCTAGAATAAACATTAAAATCCTAACATAGTCTTCAAGTTGTTATATGATTTAACTCCTGCCTTCCTCTTAATTTATCTTGTACTAATATCTTTTTTACAATATTCTGTGTTCCAGCCATACCAACCCTGGAACTTCCTGTTCTTTTTCCTGCTTCAGAGCATTCAGAGTTCCTGTTCATGCAGCCTACATGTTTTTGACCAGTCCCTAGATCTTTATCCAGTCACCAATCTAAAATTTATTCTTTATTACTGAAACATCATTTGTTTATTTAAGTATAAAAAGATGAGACAGTTATATATGTGTGAGAGAAGGATTTTCACATTCCATGTGCTCATTATTTAATGAGGATAGTATTCTAATTTTTCCTATGACCATCTCTTTAGGGGGGGCAACGGAGAGAGTACTGGGGACTGAACTTAGGGCCACTCAACCCTGAGCCACATCCCCAGCCCTATTTTGTGTTTTATTTAGAGACAGAGTTTCACTGACTTGCTTAGCATCTTGCCATTGCTAAGACTAACTTTGAACTCAAGATCCTCCTGACTCTGCCTCCTGAGTTGCTAGGAGTTACAGGCATGTGCCACCACACCTAGCCCTATGACCATCTCTTTTAAGCCCAAAAGGTTGACTTCTTATTCTAGTGTAATGGTTTGAGTAATACTCAGGAGGCATAAGAGTTTTCAGCCGGAGGCATAAAAGTTTTCAGCCTAAAGCATAAGAGTAGTCCAATAATACTTCTTTCTGAGTTCTCTTATTTCAAGTTTAAGGAATGAATGAATTAGCCAATAAACATACTACTCTAAACAAGGTGTTATTTAGAATACCAGAGAGGTATATAGACTAGTGTGGTATTTTTAATTATATATTTTAAAATTAGTTACGTACCTTTGATGGATTTTGTTGCTCTGTATATGTTTTCCTGTTTTATCTTTCTTGAAGTATTTGAATCAAAATGTCAGTATGATATTCCAGGTGAAATCAAAGGAGGTCTTATTTATAGTTAATGAAGTAATATTTAATACAAATATTTAATACAAACCTGAGTTTTAACCATTCATTTAATTTTACATCAAAATTAAAGCATTAGGTAATCCAGTAAGTAACATAATGCTAATAGATTTTTGCATCTTGTTCCAATGCACCCCCAATGGAGGGCTCAATCAGTAAGTAAGTAACATAATGACAAGACCAGGAGCTCAAGAGGGTCCTTCTGGAAATACTGAGTAATTGAGTTGATTATATTTGCATTTTGAACAAAAAAAGGGTTGAAATATAAATATATCCCAACATTAATGATAAAGATATTTCAAATTATAAGGCAAAGCCTATGAGTATTATAAAAGATTTGGAAACATCATTTTAACATACCTATTATATAATATAAGCCAATTTTTTAGATTAGTATAATATTTTTATTAACTGTGCAAAACTGGATAATGGTCATATTTGTACCTGAAATTGGATGGAAGCTAGAATCTTAACTGAAATTATGAGAAATTCCCATTATCATGACCTCTATTAGATATTCATATATAATATTTTTTAAATTAAAAAAAGATGAATATGAAGCCTAGGGCTTTTGTGTATGAATTAACTTTAGTTGAGGATTGGTTTTTATGGTTATTTGTAGGTATTTCTCTTTTCTGAAAACAGATCTTAGAAATTTAAGCCTAGAGGATAACTTCAGGTTATCTAGTGATGCTACTGAATCTGATTATTTTTAATTTTAAAGAGACTCAGTCTTTTTTTCAAGAGAAATCTCACATGGGAATGTAATAGTAATAAAGTAGATAAAAGCTGAACTGCTTAACGGAGATAAGATTTGGGGCAGGGCATACAGCGAACACTTATAAGGCTCCAGAGTTGAGTTCTGAGAGGATTTCAAGGAGTGAGATTTGGAAAAATAGTTTAATCTTTTGCCCTTTTTTATTAGATTGAACATCTGTTTCTCCAACTTTGGTTTTAAAAATTTCCACTTAACTGACTCATTTCTTTCTGATGCTGCTGTTTTTACCGATCAGCCTATCAGATAGCTTTTCCCTATGGATAAAGAATAGTTTTTTTCAACCAATGATGATGGAACAATTGTGTATTTATATGAAAATTTTTTTACAAGAACCTTCATTTATACCTGTGCCATAGACAATATTTAACTCTCAGGTTCTAAGTATAAACATTGTGCCAAATTTCAAACTAATAAAATATGTAGGAGAAAATCTTTGTAACTCTGAGCTAAACAAATGTTTTTTAGTTATGGCACCAAAAGTGTGAACCATATTTTTAAAAGACATTGCTAGGAGAATGAAAGGAGAAGTCACCATCTGGGTGAAAACATTTGCAGAAAACATACCTGATTAAAGAATTATATTCAGAAAATATAAACAACACATATGAAAGAAACCAACCTCAAAAGGCTACATATTGTGTTATTTCATTTATTCCTATATGATGCAAAACTCTAGGAATAGAAAATTGATCCGTGGTTGTCTAGGCTAGATGTGGAACCTGAAGAAACATGAAATTTGGAGAATTATGTAACTATTCTTGATTGAGGTGGTGGTTTCTTGTTTTTTAAAGCTCATATTTGTGTTCATTTGTAAAAGAAGAAAAACCATAAAATTTGTACATTATTTATAAATTACATCAATTTTTATAAAGGAGATGAAGTTTATTTCTCAGTTTGGTGTTAATCTACTTTTTATAACTTCTATCAGTTGGTTCACAATCTGAACTAATAATTTATATGGCTTGCTTTTTTCTATATGACAACCTCTATAAACCGAATTTGAAATCAGCTCTTTGGTCTCCTGATTCAGTGGTTCTTAAAGGATAATCTGTAGAGGAGACTGAGAATTTTTTTAAGAGGTCCACCCAGTCAGACCATTTTTATAATTATACAGTATCTTTATTTGCCTTTTTTTATGTGCTGACATTTATACTATTGGTACAAAATAATTGAGATAAAACTGTTGGCATCTTAGCACAAATCAAGGCAGCACTTCCTTGCAGTCAACTTTTCTTTAAAAACAAAAACAAACAAACAAAAAAACCCAGACTCCAGTTTACTTAGTGAAGCGCTGAAAATATTTTCTTTTTCTTTTTCCTTTTTTGGTACTGGGAATTGAACTTATGGGTATTTTGCCACTTATCTACATCCCAAATGTTTTGTTGTTGTTTTATCTTGAGACAGGGTCTCATTAAGTTTCTGATGCTCTCTGGATCTTGTGATCCTCCTACCTCAGCCTCCTAAGTCACTAGTATTACATGTTTGTGCCACCACATCTCTGTAAACATCTTCTTTTAATGTCCCATATAGCAAGACAGAAGAACACATAAAACATAGACTACAGTGTTTAAGGAAAAAACTTTATATGCTTTTATTGCTGTTATAAACTGAATTAGCCACTTTTTTATATATAACCTTTATTTGGAAAAACAACAGATGACAAATTATGATTAGTAGATATTTTATCAGAAATTAACCTCCCACTTTAAAATGTTGCTTGTAATAAAGTTTCAAGTGAGAATTAGAATTTTTATAGCATTTGACTCTGCCAGTGATGTGATTCATTTTGACACCTTTCTAGGACTTAAAGACTGCTCTAATGGGATTGGGATTGGGATTGGAGAAGATATAAATAAATGTATTTTATATGTATACATATACACACACAAACACATTTAGTAATGAAACATATTAACATTTAGAAGGTAGGCA